CACTAAGGATACTACCTGCTCCCAGCTCCCAGCTCCCAGCTCAGCACATCACCCGAAAACACCAGCCCCCCCAGTCCCTTCAGCTGCCAGACTGGGGCAGCCAGCGGGTTCGAGAGCTGATAGGCAGTTCGACCCGTGCGATGGGACAGGGTCGGCTTTAAAAGCTCCCGTGTCCAGCCAGCCCCACGCCCTCACCGGGCAGCACCGAAAAACTCGCACGCCGGTACTCACGTTGATGTCCTTCCCCGCCCAGTTGCACTCCTCCCTCCAGTCCACAGGGGCCGGCCAGTAGATCTGCAGGAGAGAAAGAGGCAGGCGGGAGGTCAGAGGTCAAGCAGGCCGGTACACGGGAGGGGCCCCCGTCTGCTTCAGGTATGGGGTCACCAGACGCGTCCTGCCCCGAGGGAGACAGGATGAAGACAGGGGCGTGGAAGGGGGGGCGCTGGGACACGCAGGCACAGAGCCCCCAGGGGACAGCATGTGGGTCTGCGAGGTCAGTGGCTGGCAGATCTGCTGCAGATCGTCAAGCTCTTTCCTGTTGGAACAGCAGGGAGGTATGAGAGAGGTCCTGGCCTGAGTCTCAGCCGCGTTCCGAAACTGAACCCCTTACTGGCTTGATTTGTTGCTCAAGGTTTCAAGGCGAAATCTTTTTTTCAGGCCTCTGCTTGCTTGACCCATTTTGAAAGGGTGCCACGAAGCAGGACCCTCGCAGTGGCGTGCCCCCCCCCCCGACGCTCTCTCTATTCTCCCCAGCGCGGAAGGCAATCAACGTTCCCAGAGTCCAACAGCCTGATGGTGCCGCCCCCCCACACCCGCCGGCGCCTGGCGTTCCGAAGTACTGGACATCAGGACTTTCCGTGTCCCGATACGCTTTTCCTTTAAAAAAGGCTGAAAAAATACAAAATGAATCCAGGACAAAACAAAAAATCAGAAAAGAGGGGGCCGCCCTGGTCCGGCCCAGACAGGAGTCTCATGAATGGCCAGGCATGAGGGGTGGGGGTCAGGGGGGGTCGTGCCGGGCCACGCTCTGCAGAGGGAGGAGACAGCAGGGGGAGACTTGAACTGAGAGGCTGACGATTTGAAGGCCCTTGACCTCATCCCGTCTTCCTCACTTCCAGCAGGAAAGCACGGGCGCCAAGTGGCCCAGCACCCTGAGAGCCCCTCACCCTCACCGGACCGGGCTGGGGGTCCCTGTGCCGCCGCCAGCCAGCCCGAGTCGACGGTGGACCATCCCGCGCAACGTGGGAATGTCGGGGCAAAAGGCACGCTGTCCCTGCAGGAATCCGAGATCAGGTCCCAGCCGGAGGGAGGGCCGCGGGTCACGCCAGCCACCTGCGGTCTGAACCGGCCCGGAAAACCCAGGAGAGGAAATCGGCTCCCACCTTTCGCCAGCCTGACTGCTCTCCCTCGCAATCAAGAATCAAGCGAGATTCCTGCGCGTTAAAGACCAATGCGTTCTCATGTGATGCACAACTTGGAAGCTGAGCTTCGCAGCCCCTGAGCTGGAGTAGACCTTGCCTGCACTAACCTCAGCTGCCCCGGGTTGTGGACCAACGTCGGTCCTGTCTGATGCAGTGTCCTTGAACTAATCCTCCTGGGACTTTTCTTTATTTAAGTGCCCTTTCTGACAATTCCTCCCAGGCCTTCACCCTTCACATGGATGGAAGACATGCCGGATGTATGTCAGATTCATCAGAGAGGTCAAAGGGCAGGGGGAGAGGCGACCACAGGCCAGCCGAGATGAATCCCACCCCTTCCACCATCAGGGATCCCCGGATATTTGTCGGACCGAGCAGCAACCCTGCCATCCCCGCCTCCCGGGGCGAAGGGCACCCCGTCCAGCCTGGGCTGGGACTCACAGGGGAAAGAGCGCCGACCCGTGTCCTGACCTTGTGCTCCTGCTTGGCGATGTTGTCCAGGCTCAGCGACAGCAGGAAGTTCTTGGCGCCCACGAAGAGCCTCCCGCGCTCCTCGTCCAGCAGCAGGGCCCCGAAAGAGCAGGAGCGCTCCAGCTCGAACCTCCGCACGCCGTGCACCGCTGCCAGCTCTGCAACGACAGCGCAGGCGCCCCATGAGCACAGCAGGGCCTCGCCTCGAACCCGCACTCTGTCCCGGATAGTCAGGACCTCCTACAGTATCTATGGAACTCGCTATGGGAGACCTCATTGGATGCCAGCTGTTCTTGACCAGAAGCTGAGCAGGTCAAATGAGATGAAGAGGAAAGGGCATCAGACATTGTGCACCCTCTAATAAACAGCATTATCACGGTTATTTAAAAAAAAAACACCTAGAGAGGATTACTGTTAAAGGCGCTATATAATCCATCTGTCCATACATTTTCTAACCCCTTTATCCGATTCAGGGTTGCGGGGGAGCTGGAGCCTATCCCAGAAACCAACAGGAGCAAGGCAGGGTACGCCCCGGATGGGACACCAGTCCATCACAGGCGCTATTTAAAGTAAAGTTCAATTTTATTGCCATGATTTCCCTAAATAGAGTATTGACCTAAACACTTCATGAACATAAGAAAGGATACAACCCACGCTATCACACATACTCAACAGCCATTACTGTGCAACTCGTTCCAGACCTCCACCCTCCTTTGTGTAGAGAAGTGGCACACTTCCAAGAACAGTCCTGTTCCTGGACTGCATTTCCTCTTATCTCATCACCCTTAAAGTAGCACAACAGCAGTAGGACAAGGATCCCAGTCTTGCGACATTCCCCAACAGCCCACGCCGAACTGCCGCGCAGGAAGGAATCCCAGGGGCACGGCCTGAGAACAACACGTCACCTGACACGCAGCATTGACCTTCGATCTCGACCGCGCAGCTCAGCTGATAACAGACACTCCGCCACCTGGGAAACTTCTGCACCGCGCCGCGGCCCAGAGACGTCACCGTTCTGTGCCGCAAGGCCGCCTGTCGCTTTCCAAACAAACACAGCGCCTGGAGACAGGGCTTGGAGCGGATTCCGCAGCAGGCGAGGCCTTCCCGACGGCAGCGCCGAGGAATCGGTCCCTGCCCCCCTGTGCCGCATCCCGAAACGCAATTTTCTCCACAGGCCAGGACCAGACCGCGCGGCCCGGCACTGCGGAGAGAAACCAGCCACACCTGTTTGTTACACTTTCCCCCCCGAAGTTACAACAGTGCACGAGATGTCGGAGACACGGGAGTACTGTAGGTCTTATTTATACGCCCTTGGAATGATGCTAAAATTATCCGACCTGATTATCTTTCTAGGTGATTCTGAGGCCCGGTAATGCTGTCAGATCTAGTTCTGCTCACTTATTTTACCGCATTGTTCTCTATCAACTCACGTACTGCATCAGTCAGGACACCGACGCACCAGACTTCTCCCGCAGGTGCGTGTCGGAGTCTGGATCTGCATCGCTCAGTCCTGGCTGCGCTCCTCCAGTGCAGTCCCCTACAGTGGTCCACATTGTCATTCAATTCCCCTTCCCATCTCTCTCCTTCCTGATCTCTCTGTGTCCCTCACCCCCACTCCCCCCC